ACAATTATCTTAGGTTGGAGTAGGAGGGAGGCCGTGTCCTGACGTTTCTGCAGAGTCTCTATGGTTGAGGACATATTGCAGCTTGAACCTCCCATCTTCTACTCCAGCAGTTTTTCTGATCAACCTCACAGCCTCTGAAAGGAATTGCCCACCTTGATGTCTCCGGAAATGCCATTTTGAGGCCTCCCCCTTTTTTTTTGGTGCAATGAATCTTCACATCTCCCTGATGCACCCCGTTCCCATGCAAAAAAATGGCCTAGTTGTGCACTTCAAAGCCCTTTGTAGTCCTAATCTTACAGATTGCAAATTTGCTGCTACTCCACCCCTTTTCATCTAATCTACCTCACCTAACCTTTGCAGACATCAAAGTCGGGATTTTCCCCCCCATCCTGTGGAAGTCTCACCAAAGAAACATCTTCCTGTCAACCTCTGGCCTTGGGGCCCTGGTGGAGTTCTGCCCCCAAAGTGTAGTTGCAGCCAGCCGCACCAGTATTTTTGGTTGGTTGTGTAGGGATGCCAGTTCTGTGGGGTTACAGATATTCCTACTAAACCACAAAGGTATGTGATCTATTGGTGAAACTAAGAATGCTTTGAAAAATCTGTGTTCAGGCATGAAATTCTTTGGGCCGATGTGAAGATAAAGCAGAGCAGGAAAAAAAATTCTCCATGATGGTAGAAATGAGGAGATCCAGGTTGAAGTCCCCACTCCAGCCATAGAAGTTCATTGGCTGACTTTGGGACAGTCCCTCCTTCTCAGTCAATCAGATTTATTTATTTATTTATTGGTTCGATTTATATGCCCTTTTCTGGAGACTCAGGGCAGCTTACAATGCGTTAAGCAATAGCCTTCATACTTTTGTATATACCTGCTTAGTAGGGCTTTCGGCCCCCCCAAGCGGTGTTCTTTTTTGTACAAAGTCAGCTTATTGCCCCCACAAACCGGGTCCTCATTTTACCTACCTCGAAAGGATGGAAGGCTGAGTCAACCTTGAGCCTGGTGAGATTTGAACTTGCAGTAATTGCAGGCAGCTGGTGCTATTTAACAGCACTTTAGTCTGCTGCGCCACCAAGATGTTGTGGAAAAGATGGCAGTGGGATCATCTAGGTTCAAATCCTTCTCAAGTACAGAAGGTTAAGGTCCCACATTCAGCACAGTATACCTCACAAAACTGTTGTGGGGATAAAATGGAGGAATAAAAAAACCTTCCATAAGATATGAATCATCTATGTCTATGGAGATTCTCAATCATCCAGGTCATGGTTATTCCAAATGTGCTTTTTCCCAAAAACAACTGGACATATTTGAGTTTTATTTCCTTTGAAAATGTTTCAATTGTTCAATTATGAACTAGAATTGAAGAAATGTTTTGGATGAGAAGCAAAAAAAACCCTCCAAGAAGTCTAGTTGCCTTTTGGAAAAAGTGTTTTTGGGATAGCATGTGAATTGAATGAGTAATAGTATCACTTGCAAATAGTGCCTACGATGAGATGCACAGTTTTGACTGTACCATGTTGCAGTTGTTATAACCTTTGGAAATATTCCAAAACTTTATTGAATTTTTCCCAGCATAATGCTAGCATTCTACAATTTTAACCTGTTAGCAGCACTGTAATGGGGAAGAAACTAGGAGAAAGTCTGGTCACTGAAATTCCATGGCTGCGAGTAAACAAATGTTCATCTTTAAGCTACAACTCAACTCAACTCAACACCTTAATGCTCACAGTAGCATTAAAAGGGTATGAAAAGGGAAATTCTAAATACATATGGATTAAATCACAGCAAATGGCAGCAATTTCATTGATTGCAAAAAAAAAACAAAAAAAAACACCCAACTATCCAGGTTAAAACTTAAGCTGCATGAGGAGGAACACCCCCCCCCCAGGTCGAGCATGAACTATACTTGATTCATTTTAATTGCATATTCAGTGGAAGCAAAGTTAATTGTTGCCTTTGCTGTGCCCATGACTTTTATCTCGATCCACATTTTGGATTCCATGTCCCCATTCCTATCTGACTTTGCATTCAGATTAAATGTGGATCATAGCCCCTGGTAGTCCCCAATTTATGACCGTATTGGAGCCTGCCCATTACAGGCTCCAATACGTTGAAAGTCGTGATGACTGTTAAGTGAAACATCCATATAATCACCTCACTTATGACCCCTCTATCTCTCTTCTCCCTGATGCAGTCATTAAATGAATGTGTGGGTCATTAAGTGGAGTACGGGGTACCTCAGAGAAGCCTAGCTCTGGCTTTCCTCTACCCCAAAGACCCCCATGCTCTGCTTCCTTTGATCTTTTCCTTTGGGGTCACCGCAGGCCTTTGGGCCTACTTCTCACTCCACTGGGCCCCACACCCAATTCAATGTGTCTGCCTCAAAAATGGCAGTCGCTTTCAGGATCACATCATGGAGCCCAGCAATGGTGTGGCCTCTTCATTCTTAACCCCAACTATGGAGCTCTTTGAAAGCTAAGAAAGGAAAAAGGTGTGGGGCCCAATAGGTTGGGAAGCAGGCACAAGGCCCGTGGGGACCTGGTGTGGAGGAAAGTAGGTGGGGGGGCCGTAGTATAGCACCCCAATGGGCACTGTTGTAAGAGGAAACAACTGCGTGAGTGCTGCAGTGGTTGTAACTTTGTGACAAGTGTTTAAGCGTCATTACTGGAAGCTTTGAAGAAGAGACTGGATTGCCATCTGTCAGAAATGGCATAGGGCACTGATGGCTAGCCTTTTTGCCCTCGCATGCCAAAAGCGGGGGTTGCGCGGGGGGGTTTGCACACGCATGTACCCACACCCATTATTTCAATGTGCCATGCCCCCTGCGCATGCGCACGTGACCCCCTGCGCTCCCCCCGCTTTTGGCATGTGATGGCACAGTAGGACTGAAAGGCCCGTTTTTTGCCCTCCCCGGGCTCCAGAGACTTTCTAGGAGCCTGGGGAGAGTGAAAACGGCCTTCCCCACCCCTCCTGAGGCCCTCTGAAGGCAGGAAACAGCCCATTTCCCAACTTCCGGTGGACCCAGAAGGCCTGAAAATCACCTGGCTGGCCCACGCATGCGTGCTGGAGCTGCGGTAGGGCAATGCTCACGTGCCCACAGATATGGCTCTGCATGCCATAGTTTCGCCATCACAGGCGTAGGGTCTCCTGCTCGGGTGGGGGGGTTGGACTAGATGACCTGCAAGGTCCCTTCCAACTGTTATTCTGTTACAAGCCACGTTTGGGTATGTGTGTGCGCGTCCATTATAACTTTTGATGGTTGCTATCCAACAGATAGTAAATTAAGGATTATCTGTACGCATGTATGTAAATTACATATGTCTATTATATATAAATGGTACATGTAATTTACGAAAAAGTAAAAAAAAAAGGAATGCAAACTATCAGTCTCTGGCATATGCTTTATTTCCAAGAATTCCCTAAGAACCTTCTTGAAACATGGTAGGTGGTTGCAGTCCTGTCTGGAAATGTTCCCGGCAGGGGCAGTCACAAGAGGGTGACAAAGGTCAGCGTCACTAGTTTGCCTTCAAGTAAATGGATGGGATGAGAAATGCAAACCTTGGCAGCTCTTTTATGAATCGGCAAAACCATTTTGTGAGAGCAGCTACAGCATGCTCTAAACCAGGGGTCTCCAACTTGGCAACTTGTGAACTTCAGCTCCCAGAATTCTGGGAGTTGAAGTCCACAAGTTTTAAAATTCCTCTAAACCAGGGGTATCAAACTGGCAGCCCGTGGGCCGGATGTAGGCCACACCCACCCCAGCTCCACAAATGGGAAAGTTGCAAAACCTCATGTGACCACAACGTGATGCAGCGAGTTTGTCACCTGTGCTCTAAACAAGACTTCTTATCCTTGACAACTTTAAGATGTGTGGACTCCCAGAATTCCATATTGAATTGAAGTCCATACATCTTAAAAGTTGTCAAGGTTGAGAAAAACTGTTCTAAACTTTCTGGATATGGTAGCTCATTCTTTTTTTTTTTTTAAAGTAGATTCTAAGACTGGGATGTCCGGGAGAAAAGTGCCAAAAATTACAAGAAAATGTCCACAATCATGCAATTGAAACCCTGTCATATTATGGTTTGGGTAAAAAAAATAAAGGGAGTAGAAATTAGAATAACAAGAGTTGGAAAGGACCTTGGAGGTCTTCTACTCCAACCCCCTGCTTAGGCAGGAAACCCTACACCTCTTCAGAAAAATGGCTATCCAACATCTTCTTAAAAACTTCCAGTGTTGGAGCATTCACAACTTCTGGAGGCAACTTGTTCCACTGATTAATTGTTCTGTTAGGAAATTTCTCCTTAGTTCTAAGTTGCTTCTCTCCTTGATTAGTTTCCACCCATTGTTTCTTGGCCTGCCCTCAGGTGCTTTGGAGAATAGTTTGACTTCCTCTTCTTTGTGGCAGCCCCTGAGATATTGGAACACTGCTATCGTGTCTCCCCTAGTCCTTCTTTCCATTAAACTAGCCATGCCCAGTTCCTGCAACCGTTCTTCATATGTTTTAGCCTCCAGTCCTCTAATCATCTTTGTTGCTCTTCTCAAATTCAATCACATAATTGTAGCCACCCCGAGTTTTGTCACACATACCTCCATCATCCTCACACGTTTTCCCATTTCTTTATCTTGGTAAGTTTAAAATGTGTGGACTTCAACTCCCAGAATTCCTCAGCCAGCATGGTTAAAATACAACCCAATCCAACCGTTTAAATGGCGCCAAGGAAAAAAAATCACCCAGCAGTGTGAGGTACCAGGTCTGCTTGCTTGCGGTTTCTTGTTCTCTCCTATTCCGAGTTATGTCTCAATGTTGAGAGATAGACTGCCTCTGACAGGGAGGTATCACTCTGCCTGGGAAAAAAAAACCCAGTGATCGACCGGAGTCTGGAAGTTGTGAAATGAAAACCGAATATGGATTGGTGCATCCCCCATCGTGTGACTATAAATATTGCTAGATAAACAAAGAAACAAAAAAACCCCTGTTTTCAGAGACAATTCAGAAAACATCATCTTGTGAATCCAAGCCTTATTTTATATACAACTTCTCCAATACACGCAGTTAAGACAAAAACATTCCCGCCACCTTTTTCCTCTCCCAACTAGAACAAAGGGCGGGGGGGGGGGGGGGGAAACGAACATGGTTTAGAAACGGGAATAGGGGTAAAAAGTGCCACAGGGCTTTGTGAGATACTCCTTTCCAACCCCAACTTGCAAGGCTGAAAATTCATCGATTCGCACGTGTGCTTTCCTTCTACCATTGCTTTTGCCAGCTGAAGATCCTGAAGGGATTTCCGCCCTTATTTCCTCTTCAACCAATCAGGAGTCCTGAACCAAGGGGAAAACAGTTCTGCCTTCTTCGGGCCATCATAGAGAAGGCCCTGCCTGCACAGTTCCTCATCCCTCCCACCCTGGTGGGGAACTTTTCCTACTAGGCGCCACTGATAACACCAGGGGTTGGAAGCAGCTATTTGTGTGTGAATGCCCTGCTGTCCAACCAGACCCGGCTAAATGACGCGTCATGGGCCTCCTCCTACTTCTAGTTTCCATCACTTGCTAATGGAAATCCAGCTTGAAATCCAACTCCAGGGACTTTTTTAAAAAAAAGAAAATTTGTAAATCGCTCCTCAATTAGAACTTAGTTGTCAACCCTGGGCGGGATAGAGTGGCAGTTCTTATTTTCTTCAGTTCACCCCTGAACAGGCTGGAGTTTGAATGAAGGGTTCCTTGCGGGTTTCTCCAGAATTCGGCTCTGTGCACGTGTGGTCCTGCGAGCGCTTCTATAACCGCTTGTCTTTCACGATGCCGTTCTTCAGGTGATTTCTACAGAGGAGAAACAAAGAACAGAATAGAATAGAATAATAGAATTAGAATTAGAATTAGAATAGAATAGAATTTTTTATTGGCCAAGTGTGATTGGACACACAAGGAATTTGTCTTGGTGCATATCCTCAGTGTACATAAAAGAAAAGATACGTTCATCAAGAATCATAAGGTACAACACTTAATGATCGTCATAGGGTACAAATAAGCACTCAGGAAACAATATCAATATAAATCGTAAGGATACAAGCAACAGAATTACAGTCATGCAGTCATAAGTGGAAGGAGATGGGTGGTGGGAATGATGAGAAGATTAATAGTAGTGCAGACTTAGTGAATAGTTTGACAGTGTTGAGGGAATTATTTGTTTAGCAGAGTGATGGCGTTCGGGAAAAAACTGTCCTTGTGTCTAGTTGCCTTGGTGTGCAGTGCTCTATAGCGTCATTTTGAGAGTAGGAGTTGGAACAGTTTAGGTCCAGCATGTGAGGGGTCTGTAAATATTTTCACAGCCCTCTTTTTGACTCGTGCAGTATACAGGTCCTCCATGGACAACTAGTGGGGGGGAAAAACCCAGTGTTTACTATTCGGTCGTGCCTTCTGACCATTGGCCTCAGGTGTGGCTATGCAGATGAGTGGGCGTGGCCCTGGAATCACCATTCAAGTAGTCCTTGACTTATGACAGTTGGAACCAAGATGTCTGTTGCTAAGCAACGCAGTTGTTCGGTGAGTCATGCCTGATTCTACAACTTTTTTTGCCATTGTTGTGAAGCGGTTTTGGCTTCCCCCGCTGAGCTGGTTTTAGGAAGTCTGGGAACGTTGTAAATGGTGATCACATGACCCCGGAGTGCTATAAATGTTATAAATACATGCCAGTTGTCAACACTGATAGTTGTAAGTGGAAGGACTGGTCATAAATCACTTTTTTTCAGTGCCATCATAATTTGAAATGGTTGTTAAATGAATGGTCATAAGTCGAGGACTATTTGTTAATGATGGCTACTGGGATCAGGAATTCTTATTGCTAAGTGATGCAGAGGTAAAGCATAGTATCGCATGACTGTGCTGCTTAGCGATGGCAGTTCCAGCACTTCATGTTGCTGTCCTTAAGCAAATTCCATGCCGTCATTAAGCGAGACATCATGTGGTTGCCATTAGAAGCCTCCTTACCAGCTTTCAATTGGTTTTCCTTGTTGGAGGCTGGCAGTAAAAGTCTCAAATGGCGATCGTGACCTTGGGGATCCTATGACTTAAATATGTTTAAGGACTAGTAGTAAGTACCACTCATTCGGTGCCACTGTAAGTTCAAACAATCACTGAGCAAATGATGGTTAAGCAAGGGCTATTTGTAGGCACTTTATTCCCCAAACATGGTTTAAGTCCAGAACAGAAAATTAAATAAGCTTTACTAAATTTCAGTTTTAATGAGTATTTTAATGAAATGCAGCTATTATTAATACACTGCATATATTTAAATATGTCCTCCTACCACCTCAGGCTCAATATTTAGAAAGGTGTTTATTTAACAGAAACATTGCAATAGAATTGTTTTAAAAAAATACATTTCAAATTGTAGTGAAACCTTGAATACATGGTGTCACAAAACACTTTCTTCAGTGTCCCTGAAGGTTGCATTTAATGAACAATTATGAATAATGGACACCGACACCCCCTTCCCCACATCTGTACAAGTAGTCCTTGACTTATATCATACGTTTAGTGACTGTTGGAAGTTACAACAGCACTGGAAAAAGTGACTTCTGATTGTTTTTCACACTCACAACTGTTGCAGCATCTCCCATGGTCACATGATCAAAATTCGGACGCTTGTGAACTGGCACGTACGATAGTTGTAGTGGTCCCAGGATCGTGTGATCACTCTTCGCGACCTGACAAGTCAATGTGGAAGCCACATTCACTTAACAACTGTGTTAAGTGAATCTTAAGTGTCATTAACTTAACAACTGCAGTGATTCACTTAACAACTGTGGCAGAAAAGGTCGTAATATGGGACGAAGCTCACTTAACAACTGTCTTGTTTAGCAACAGGAACTTTGGGCTCAATTGTAGCCATGAGTTGAGGACTACCGGTATTTCATATCTGTACGTATGTATCCATAAGTATATAATTGAGTATTTTTTAAATCATTCTTACAATTGGTTGGAATGGATGGATGAACTGTAGCTGATTTGTAACACGCTTAATAATGGAGGGCTTATTACAGGGGTGAAATCCAGCAGGTTCTGACAAGTTCGGGAGAACTAGTTGCGGAAATTTTGAGCAGTTCGGAGAACTGGCAAATACCACCTCTGGCTGGCCCCAGAGTGTGGTGGGAATGGAGATTTTGCAGTATCCTTCTCCTGCATTGGGGTGGGAATGGAGATTTTGCAGTATCCTTCCCCTGCCACGCCCACCAAGCCACACCCACAGAACCGGTAGTAAAAAAAATTTGGATTTCACCATTGGTTTATTAATGTAGGAACTGGGGCTAATAGGAAGGGCAACTGAACTGTTAATGGTAACACTGCGTGGTCTAGCAAATAAGTGACTGGGATATGGGGCTCCTTGGATGCATAACCTCTTAAAGGCAGCAGATGGAGAGATAAGGAAAGTCCCTACTAACATGAATGGAACAGAAGGCAGTGCTCATAATTCATAAATAAGTGTCCGAGGTCCATAAGGCCAAGGAATGTGCAGTATGTTTGGATCAATCCCGAGATAGCTGTCAATGAATATCATTCTGGCATTCAGGAAACGTATAAGAGGGCGGAGTCTTTGGCCCCGAGTTACAGGATTTCTCCACCGTTTGGCATTTCTCTTACATGTGCTTAATCCTCTCCGCTGCCCAATTCTCCACTCCATTCTGCAAGTCTGTCTTTTGCTAGCTAGGTCACTCCCAGAAATTTCTGGTCATATTGTTTTTAGGCTTTCCTGCATAACCTAAAAGACCCCATGACTGGTTTTCCCCATTTACTGCAGAGTGAAATTGAAACGTTTTTTGTTTTTTGTTTTTTAACTCTGTGAGGTTGTGTACGGTACTTTTGAATTTTATTTAATTTTTTTTAAAAAGAACATATGGTACTTTCCGAATAAGAGCTGGGGACAGCATTTTCTTCCCCCTGAAACTGCTCCATAATTTGCAGCAGCTCGAAATTTGCAGGCTGTTTCCTACAACGTGCCTCCTTGAGAAAGTGAAAGATGAAGGGTACTTGAAATGGATACTATTTTTGGTCTTCACCCCAGGAGGGTAGGGTTAAAAGAGTCAGATAAGGTTTATTTATTTATTTATTTATTAGTCCAATTTATATGCCGCCCTTCTCCGTAGACTCAGGGCGGCTTACAATGCATTATAGCAATAGCCTGCACACTTTTATGTATATACCTGCTTATTAGGGCTTTTGCCCCCCCCCAAAAGCGGTGTTGTTCTATACAAAGCTGGCTTATTGCCCCCACAATCCGGGTCCTCAATTTACCTATCTCGAAAGGATGGAAGGCTGAGTCAACCTTGAGCCTGGTGAGATTTGAACTCGCACTAATTGCAGGCAGCTGGCAGCTAAGTGCTAGCACTTAACAGCACTTTAGTCCGCTGCACCACTGAGGCTCTTAAGGTTGTTAAGTCCATTGCTCTCAAGTCAGTGTTTCTCAGCCTCAGCAACTTCAAAGCTATGTAGACTTCAATTCCCAGAATTCCCCAGTCAGCCTTAAAGCTGCCGAGGTTGAGAAACACTCCTCCAAAAAAACTGGATCTAAAATATTGGGGGAGGGTAACCAGATCTGGCCAGAGCTAGATTCCATAATTAGCAATGGAAGGGATGCCTTTTATGGACTCTGTCGGTCTATCGATTCACTATTCCTCTCTATTTCTTCTTTCCGTGCAGAACGAAGCGTATTTGCAATCTCCTTTGGAGAACTTTTAGTTGTATTAGACCTGGGGTGGCGCTAAGGGAATTACCGTACTTTTCAGAGTATAAGATGCACTTTTACCCCCCACCCTAAAAGGGTGGAAATATTGGTGTGTCTTATACACCAAATACAGCCATTTTTGGCCTCCCAAAATCCTACCCTGCGCGTCCCATTTTTTCAAAAAACAGGCCCACTTTTTGCAAAAATGGGACACGCAGAGGGTTTGGGAGGCCTGCAGAGTGCTCCTGGAGGCCGGGGAGAGCAAAAACTTTTTTTTTCTCGTTTACCTCTTTGAAATCTTGGTGTGTCTTATACTCCGGTGCATTTTATAGTCCGAAAAATATGGTATTTGGAGGAATTAGAAAAGTATTTGGTATCCTTGGACTTCCGGTTTGGCATCCCAGCAATGCAGTCAGGGAAATAGCGGGTTCTGATGAGCCCCGCGAAAATCCTGACTGACGAGCTGCCGCCAATGGGTCTTTGGACCAAACCTGTCTTGTAGGGACAGGGGAAGGTGAGGGGCTCCTCGGACGGTCGAGAGGAACAGGCAGGTTCCTCGGAGGCCGGAGGGAACCCTTTGAGTAGGCAGTGGGGGGAGGCAGCCATTGTGGCTGTCATGAAACTGGGACAAACCGGGAAAGAATTGTGCAGGAGGAAAGAAGAAAGAAAGAACTATGTGCTTTGAAGCCGGGTGAGTGACACCAACCCAGGCGAGAAACGACATTAGACTATGGACTTTTACTAGTAAGACCCCCAGCCTTAAACAGAGGCTGTAGATTTGCGGGGCTTGAAGATTTTGTAAAGTAACAATATAGGATAACGACCCATTAAGGAACTTACTTTAGTACTGACTGTTTTGGACGAATTGGCTATTAACAAATTAGAAAACTGAGTTTTCCTTCAAATTGGAACAGATTCAATCTTTGGAAAAAGAGAAAAGCGATAAATAAGGACTTAACACCTTTAAAAGTTAGATGAAGCAAGGCAAACGGATGGTTACATAATTGCTACAAAATGGAGATTGCTGTGACTAAGTGAAAGTGTAAATTGCGGAGACTCGCCTTCTGCTTGAAAAAGAACTATTTTGACTGGCTATTTATCCTGGATTACTTAGAAAATAATTATGGATTTTTGGATTTTGGAGATTCCTATTCTGCCTATGGGTGGTTTTATAAAGAAAGAAGAAATATAATGGAACTAATAAAATCGAAACTAACTGGTGCAGGGACAAAAGAAGTGGCGCAGGAACAAAATAAGGAAACTGATGGATTCTACATGGAACAGACTTTACAATAGAATTAAAATGATATGTAGAGTTTCAAACATGGATATACTGATTTTGAAGTGGAATACTTATGGACAGATAGGGAAATGAAGAAATAAAATAGATAAACTTAAAATATAATGTTTAAATGTTTAAATGAGTTTTAAATATAAGCAGGAGGTGTCTATGGAGAAATAAAGATGGAAAATAAAAGAAAGTAACTAAAACAGAAATTTGATGTTCAGGTGGTTAAAAATGATATTTTTACAAAAGCATAAGAGTATATATTAACATGAGACAATTTTAAGAAAATTTATTAGACTATGGGAGAATAAGTCTGATGCAATATGTTGTTAATTTTAAATTGTAAAATTTATTAAACTATGGGAGAACAAGTGGAGAATATGTTTGATGTAACATGTTTTAATTTTAAACGGTAAACAAAGTTGAGAATGGTAAATATGATTAAATGTGAATGATTAATGAACTATTGGATAATAAAATAAGAAACACAGATTTAAGTAACAAATTGCGATCGAATTTAATGTATGTTCGAAATGATCAACATTAAGAAATAGGTTGGGAAACACCCTGGAAGAGTATATTTGGAAATAATTAAATAATAGATAAATATACTGAAAAGAAAACACTCAAAACAAGATATGCTGGGTATCAGCCAAACAAGAGGTGGATGTGGAGGAGAATATGCTGGAAATCAGCCAAAATAAAATATGCTGGAAATCAGTCAAACGATAGTTGGGGTATGGAGAATATGCTGGAAACCAGCCAAAATAAAATATGCTGGAAACCAGCCAAACAATAGTTGGAGGTAGGGAGGAAAATATGCTAGAAATCAGCCAAAATAAAAAAAAAAAATGCTGGAAACCAGCCAAACAACAGTTGGGGTTATGGAGGTGAATACGCTGAAATTCAGCTAAAATAAAATTTGCTGGAAATCAACTAAACAATAGTTGGAGATATAGAGGAGAATATACTGGAAAATAGTTAAATTAATATGGGGTGAAAAAGAATATGTTGGAAGACAATTAAAATGAAGTGAAACGATTTTGAGATTATTCTGTGTAAAATGAAATGTGTAATAGATGATAAGCTCAAGAAAATTAAGTGTAAATTGACAAAGTTTAAGATCTAAGGATTGAATGAAATGGGTCCAGACATTAAGAAATACAGATAGAATTTTGATTTATAAATTGAAATAAAAATAGAGTTGTATATATTGGAAATTAAGATTTGTGGTGATAAAATAGTAAGGTAAATACTTAGATCAAGAGGTTATAATATTTCTTAAATTTGTGTTTTGATATTGATGTTAAAAGAAGTAATGGAGAAAATTTAGGAAAGAGTTAGAATGAACTTTGATTTATATTTGGATATAAAAATGAGTGGAGTTTATTTGGGAATTAAGATTTGTGGTGATATAATAGTATGGCCTAAATTAAGATGTTAGAATTTAAGTTGAACATTTTTGTTTTGATTTGTAATTTTAAAAGATGCAATGAGGAAATTTTGAATGGAGTTTGTTAAAAAATGTAAGCGATTGTATTTATTTATGACCGGATCAAGACTTCGTTCTTAAAAGATATATTTTATGTTTATGTTGGGAAAAAAATAAAAAATATTTAGAAAAGTATTTGGTATCTTTGATATTAAGGACAGGATTCAAGTTGTAACTTAAGCTGTTTTTGCATGCCACTCAGAAGCAACCAACTGGCTGGTGGTGGAAAGTGAGGGAAAGAAAGAAGAGAAATCCATGGCTTTTAGACGTCCTTACCCTTCCTTCCAAGAGTTGTGGAGATGAAGCTCCTTGTCTGTCTTCTTAGAAGCAGCATCAATATCATATTCCCGTATATCCTTCATTTCCTGCATTTGTCCTAGCAAAACCTTGGCCACAAAAACAACGATGTACTGCCAAGAGGAGAAGAGGAGAACCAATCAGCTTTGCTGGATCACAGATTTTCCCATCGTGCTCGTTGGACTCTTACCGGCTTCATCAGCCTGCTGGGTCAATTTAGCATATGGGGATATATCCACTCTCAGTCTACATTCAATGGTACAGGAAGATTTAGGATTCTCTCTTAGCCTAGCTTACTTCACAAGGCTGATGTGAGGATAATGTGTGATCTGGGCATTTAGAATCAGTCTGCTGCGGGAGAAAATTGGATCGAAGGCAAGACACACATCTCAGATTACCGTACTTTTCAGAATATAAGACGCACTTCCCCCCCCCCAAAAAAGTGGGTGGAAATGTCTGTTCTTCTTACACAGCGGATATTGCTGAAGCTCCGCCCACCCGCCGGCCCTCACCCTTCAGCCTCTGCCTCCCAGCAATTTACCTCCTTGCAGCAAGTAGCATGGTCAGCTTCAGCACAGCCTGATTCAGCACGAGTAGCTGATTGGCAGTTCGATCGGCTTCTCAGAATACCTCCTATCAGCTGTGGGGATGAGCAGTGCCAATTGCCGCTATCACCTATCGCTCTTTCCGCGTGCCCCATTTTTGGCCTTCTTGCATCCCATTTTCAGCCTCCACGCCAGGGGTGAAATTCAGCCGGTTCTATCTGGATTGCACGATACAGTAGGCCTCGCCCATCCGTGCGGATGTCATGAAGTCCCTTTTTTGTGACAATTTTCAGTCTCTGCGTATACGGCACGTGCACATTTGCAAAATGGTAGGGAAGGTAAGTGAATATCACCCCTACTCCGTGTGCCCCATTTTCGACCTCTGCCTGTCCCATTTTCAGCCCGTTCCAGCTGGCGGGGATAAGCGGCGGCGATGATAGGTGACAGCGCCGATGGAAGCTGCTGCTGATGGGTGGCGCTAATCCCCACAGCCTGGAACAGTTGATATGAGGTATTCCGAGAGGCAGATCCAACTGCCAGTCAGCTGTTCGTGCTAAATCAGGCTGTGATGAAGCTGACCATGCTGACTGCTGTTTGCTGCAAGGAGGCAAATTGCTGGGAGGCAGATTTTTTTCCCCTTGTTTTCCTCCCCAAAAGCTAAGTGCGTCTTATATTTCGAAGCGTCTTATAGTCTGAAAAATACGGTACTTCCTGTGGGAACAGGAGTTCTATGCAAAACCATGTGAATGTAAAACAGTACAGTAACAATGGCTATGGCTAGTCCTCAACTCACAACCATTCATTTAGTGACTGTTTCAAAGTTACAAAGGCACTGAAAAAAAGGGGACTTGTGACCATTTTTCACACTGATGATCGTGGCAACATACCCACAGTCCCCCCATGAATAAACCTCGGATGCTTGGCAACTGGTTCATATTTATGATGGTTGCAGTATCCTGGAATTGTGTGATCACCTTTTGCGACCCTCTTGACGAGCAAAGTCAAAGGGGAAGCCAGATGCACTTAACAACCAGGTTATTAACTTACAGTAGTGGCTAAAATTTAATCGGCTCCATAGATTTTCAATTGGGTGAAGGTCTGGGCTATTCCCAGGCCATTCCAGCAATGGAATATGATTATCTTGAAACTCCAAAAAAAATAAAATAAAACTGGTGTTATTAGCCGTCAAACCTCAAAAATACACTTTTCCCAAAAGGTTTCCACAATTTTGGCCACTACTGTAACAAATGCAGCAATTCACTTAACAACTGTGGAAAGGAAGGTGGTACAATGAGGCAAAAATCACTTAACTACTACTGTCTCACTTAGCAACAAAAACGTTGGGCTCAAGGACTACCGATAAAAGGCCCACAAAGAGCACAATTATATTTACTAGCACTATTCTACACACACATATGCACAAACACAGAGTCCTCTCCCAGGACTCTGCAAACATGGCTTCTCTGTGGCATTAATCTGGAAAGAGATTCCCACCAAAATCTAACGGGCCCCATTGCTGTCATTTAGAAGAGCCAAAGAAGCCATTGATTCTTCACCCAGGCTGTAGACCTCGAAACCTGACAGAGGGAGGGAAATGGTTGTGTTGGCCAACATTTACCTATTTCTTGTTAATTTTATATTGTCATTTCTTCGTTCATTCCTGTGAGCCACCCTGAATCATTGAGAGTTGGGTAGCATACAAGTTAATATCATCATCATTATCATTATTAATATTATTATTGGAGTTCAGCAGATGTGTAGGATCGCAGCCCCAAGATGGTGGAAAATAATTGATGTTGGAATAAGAAATTAGGAACTAAGGAAAAAAAGAGGTGGAAGGTTAATTAAATTAAAAGGTTTTAATGCAAAAATGGAATAAGTTGAAATACATTGTTAATAATTAAAAAACGTGCTGGGGACTTTGAAAAATATTGTTAATAAATGGAGGAAAAATTGTGGTTGCCCGGATACCATTGTGGAAAATATTGAATTAAAAATAAATACAACAATGGAGAGAGAATGGAAGGAGGAGTAGAGGGAAGAAGGAGAAGAGAGGAAGGAGAGAGAGGAATAGAAGAAAGGGAAAAGGAAAGGAAGAAAGAGAGGGGAAATAAGAGTAGGAGAGAAGGTTAGAAAGGGAGGAAGGAAGAAAGGAGGAGGGGGAAAGGAAGGGGAAGTAGAGAAGGAGTAGGAAAGAAGAAAGTAGAAAAGGATAGAAGAAGGGAAGGGAAAGAGCATATTCATGTTCAAATTTATTAGGATGAAGAACGAATCAATAAGAAAGTTAAAAGTCCGTTGGGACTTAAAGACTTGGCTGTTGACCCTGATCCTTGGGTTTTATTATTTTGATTGTTGTTGTTTTAATCTGGGTTTTAATCACTTTACTTTTTATTATTGTATGTTTTTAACTTGTGTTCGCCGCCAAGTCCTTAGGGAGAAGGGCGGCATATAAATTTTATATATATATATATATATATATATATATATATATATATATATATATATATATATATATATAATATATATATTATATATATAATTAACAATGGATAACTAATTGAAATAATGTTAAGAAACTAGGATTTGAGGGCGGGTGGTGATGCTGTTTATATAATGAGTATAGAAGTATTAAGATAAGATTAAAAAAGTATGGAAAAAGAATATTTGGGCAAAAATTGTAACTATGTAAAATGAAATTGGATATGATAAGTTGTATAAGATATGAAACGGCCAATTCTCTGTTCATAAAAGATGTGCGTGTGTCTGTGTGTGGAAAAAAAAAATCAATGAAACTTGATTCCCCCCCCCCCCAAAAATATGTTTCCTTTGCTATTAACCTTCCACACAATGAATAAAGTGATTTTGTTGGGCTGAATTTTTGCATGCTTTGCAGTGACGTTTGGGATTCTACTTTGCTGACCTGGATTTATCAATGCAGATGGCTTTGCAATCTAAGTTTCTGAGTATTACTGCATTTTCTGCTTGTAAATCACTCAGAATCTTGAGAAAGGGGCAGGGGTGAAATGCTCCCGGTTCGGACCGGATCGCCCGATCCGGTAGCGATGGAGATGGGTGGTTCGGAGAACCGGTAGCAAAAATCCCTGCCCGCCCCCCGTGCCCAGCTGAGCCGCACAATCATCAGAGGCTTTTTTTTTTTTTACTTTTAAAAGCATTTTTTCTACAACCTCTTTGGCCGAAAAAATGCTTTTAAAAGTAAAAAAAAAAAAAAGCCTCTGATGATCACATGGCTCAGCTGGGATCATCAAAGTTTTTTAAAAGAAAAAAACCCTTTTTTTCTTTTAAATGCCTCTGATGATCCAAGCTGAGTTGCCTGATCGTCAGAGGCATTTAAAAGAAAAAAAGTCTCTGCCAATCAGGCAACTCAGCTGGGATTGTCAGAGCCTTTTGAAAGCATTTTTTTACAACCTCTTCACCGAAGAGGTTGTAAAAAAAATGCTTTTAAAAGTAAAAAAAAAAAGGCCACGCCCACCGTCATATTACCATCCCCCCACTAAACCATGCCCACAGAACTGGTAGTAACAAATTTTAGATTTCACCTCTGCAAAGGGGCAATATATAGAACCACGCATGTTCTTTACTTGGGGGATCAAATTAATATATACATCATTCCCTCTTATTTTTTCCTACAACCCCTCTTAAATTGGCACGAGAGGAGAGAACAAGCTCGAATTCCCTCAGGAGCTTCCCTGGTTGAAGGGAGCTCAAACCTGAGTCTCCCCAATCCTAATCCGGCACCTTCACCACTACAGGTAGTTCTCGATTTACGACCACAATTGAGCCATAGTGAATCATTCCAGCATTGACTTTGCTTGTCAGAAGCTCCCTAGGAAAGGTTGCAAATGACAAACTCAGCATCCCGGTTTCCAAGAACCCAAAGTCTGATGACATAACTGTTGGGATGCTGCTGCAAAAGTCATTAAGTGTGAGAACTGGTCCTCAGTCACTTTTCTTAGTGCCGTTGTGACTTTGAATTGGTCATTAAACAAACGGCGATAAGTCAAGGACTACCTGTAGTTCACACTGGTAGGTACGGAGCCGGTAAAAGCTGGACTAGCCTCTGACAGGAGCCCTTTACTTACCAGGAACCAATAGATATTCATCAGCATGAGGATAAACAGCAGCGCGTTGAAGAAGAAATAAAATGGGATTTTGGGGACAGACTGGAGGCTGGTGTGGGAGGTCGCATAAAGCACCTTCAAGGGGAACCAGTATAAACGGAACCAGAACCTGGAAAAGGACAGCAAAGCAGCAGAAGCAAATTTAGACTAAGGTTGTGTTCCGCCCCAGCTCCGGGTTCCTGAGGATATTGACACACACCAATGGTCCTTATCAAATTTATTAAGTAGGAAGAATAAAGCAAAGTCCGGCAAAAGTTGGCAACCAGCCCAGAAAGCAAGATATGATAAAACTTCTCCAAAAATGCTCTGATGATAATTACAAGTTGTTTCTAGCAAGAAATTTACTAACAGCGCATGACTTAAATAGGCTAAGGGAGTGGCCAATTATCCTCAAGCCTTACTCTCGAGGAGACCTCCTCCTCCTGAGTAGCCACTCCTGCCTTTTGGCAGCCCTGCGTGCTCGAGCATTGAGGAGAGGCTCCTCCACTTCGCTCTCTCCACTTGAAGGAGCCTCTGGAGGTTCTGAAGGCCCTGGCTGAGTCTCTGCCTCTGGCACCACATCCTCTTCGGCCTCCTCGCTGTCCGACGCGAGCACCGGCTGCTGGCGCGACACCACACCAGCCTCCTCGTCGTCGGGATCAGCCACGATCCGCGCAGGCCGCTGGCGGGCCACAACAGGTGGGGACCTTTCTGCACACATGCCTGGGAGGGTCAGTTGCTAGTTAAAATCAGCAATCTTGCAGATAAAGCCTGCCAAGGCGATAGGCGTCCAAGTTCTATTCTGATTCTGATCCTTGGGTTTTTATTATTTATTATTTTATTTATTATTTTATTATTTTATTTATTTAAATTAAATTAAATTAAATTAAATTAAATTAAATTAAATTAAATTAAATTAAATTAATTAAATTTGTATACCGCCCTTTTCCTGCTGGACTCAGGGCGGTGCACAGCCAGAACTAAAACACATACCAATACAAAATTTAAATTTTTTTAAAAGAATTACACAACTTTGGCCCAAAATTTAAAACATCCCAACTAAAACCCATAGACAATTAAAAATCTAACATCTCAAAAGGGGGGGGGGAGTTTATGCCAGCCCTGCTTGGTGGAAAAGAAAAGTTTTAGGGCACGGTGAAAAGCCCGGAGATCTGGTATCCTTCGTATCTCCGAGGGCAAATTGTTCCAGAGTGCAGGTCCTGCCACAGAGAAGGCCCTCCCCCTGGAGGTCGCCAGCCGACATTGCCTGGCTGACGGCACCCTGAGGAGTCTCTCTCTGTGGGAGCGTGCTGGCCGGTGGGAGGCTATTGGCGGCAGAAGGCGGTCCCGCAAATACACAGGTCCTATGCCATGGAGCGCTTTAAAGGTGGTAACCAACACCTTGAAGCGCACCCGGAATCTGGTTTTAGTGGGTTTTTATTATTGTATGTTTTTAATCTGTATTCGCCGCCCTGAGTCCTTCGGGAGAAGGGCGGCATATAAATTCTGTAAAATAAATAAATAAAGTAAATAAAATATTCAGTTGAAAGGAAAAAAGTGCACCAAACCTACCTGCCCATGGTGGTTTTCCTAATTTAAGAAGAAAGCTGTAAGGTTTAGGCAGAGATTTAAACCAGGAATATCCAACCAAGACTTGTGGACTTCAACTCCCAATTCTTCAATTCCCCAGCCAGCCACAAATTGAAGTCCGCAAGTCTTCAAGCTGCCACGGTTGGACAACCCTGGTTTAAAACATTTTAATTTTGGAACAGGACACGTCTTTTTCTCTGATTGCTGTTTATTGAGAAGGCTTGTAGGTTGCTCCAAGCACCCAACAAGCTGAACTTGCAGTCAGGATTTCCTGGCCTGACCTTTCTGGAAGGGCTGACATCAATCAGAAAAGCCAAATTTCCTTTATTTCCTTATTGTAATGGTAAAGATAACAGTTTCCCTTGACCAGTCGTGTCCGATTCCAGGGGGCAGTGGTCATCATTTCTTAGCCGAGGGAGCCGGCATTGTTGGAAGATGCTTCTGTGGTCATGTGGCCAGCATGACTACGCCGAAGCGCATGGAATGCTGTTATATTCCCACCGAAGTGGTACCTATTTATCTACTCACATCTTCCCACCGAAGTGGTACCTATTCAGGGGTGAAATCTACTTACCTTCCCTACTGGTTCAGAAGTGCGCACATGCATGTCACATGCAATTTTGGATCCTCTGTGCATGCGCAGAAGGTCAAAAACAGGTTACAACGTCCAGGTGAGTGGGAAGAGCTTCGTGCCGCCACCACTACCGGTTTGCCAAACCACGCGCCACTGCCGCTACCGGTTCACCTGAACCGGTAGCATTTCACTCCTGTACCTATTTATCTACTTGCAACTTCCCACTGAAGTGGTACCTATTTATCTACTCACATCTTCCCACTGAAGTGGTACCTATTTATCTACTCACATCTTCCCACCTAAGTGGTACCTACTTATCTACTCGCATTTGCATGTTTTCAAATTGTTAAGATGGCAGCAGCTGGGGCAAGGAACAGGAGCTCACCCTGTTGCACAGCGCTTGGGTCTCGAACCCGAGCTGTCAAGTTTCCAGCCAACAAACCCCCTGTTTTAACCGTAAAGCCATCATGCCCACTCCTTAACTGTATACCCCAGTAAATTAGGGTGAGTCCATTCTGAGCTTCCTTCTCATGCTTTCTCCGTTTACTGGGTTTAATATTGTTATTTCATTAAGCATTTTTGCATTGTCATTTTTGTGGCTTTCTGCCATAGTCTTCCCCCCAAACATTCACAAATAGGTTTGGGCTTTGACGGAATGAAGACTTGTGACAGTTACAGCTATCAGAAGGCTTTTTCCTTAAGAGCAGTCTATCTTAAAAGGAGTAGAAGACAAAGCCACAATGTTCTACAGAAGATTCAACTGGAGCAACAGCCAAATACAGGTAGTCCTAGACTTATAACCATTCATTTAGTGACCGTTCATAGTTACCACAGCACTTTCGCTCTTACAGCCATTGCAGCATCCCCATGGTCATGTGATCAAAATTCAGACATTTGGCAACTAGCATATATTTATGATGGTGGCAGTGTCCCGGGGTCATGCGATCAGCTTTTGAAACCTTTTGACAGGCAAAGTCAACAGGGAAGCCAGATTCACTTTAACAACTGCAGTGATTCACTTAACAACTGTGGCAAGAAAGGAGGTAAAACAGGACAAAACTCACTTAATAACTCTCTTGCCTAGCAATAGAAAGTTTGGGCTGAATTGTGATTGTAAATCAAGGACTACCTGCAATAATTCATAATATTCCTCTCCGGTTTCTTTTCTAGGCTGGGTCCCGTGAGATCTGAGGACCAGACTCACCAAGTAACACTGAAGGAGACGCAGCCGGCATTAGAAATGGTGTCGTTTAAACGGTGGTAAATGCCACCCCGGTACTTGAAGTAAACGTTGAGTTTGGTAAACTCCAGCTGGACGTCACTAAAGTCATGAAGGAAGAGCACAAGAATCCCTATGTTGTGGTATCTGTGAGGAAGAGAAAAGCGCCATTATTAGCCACGGGAAAAGGTCCAAGCTTTTCAATTCAGCAGGCCGCAGATGCGAGAGGCCTGTCATTTTTCCTTCCTCCAACGACCCAGACAAAAATCATGTCACTGCATCTTATTGGACAGCAGGTTTTAAACAGTACAATACAGAGGCTTGTTACAGTATTGGACATGCTAGACTTGGTATCGGCGAGTTGCATAAGAATACAGGCAGTCCTCAACTTACAACGTGTCATGCATACCCCGCCCATTGAATTCAGTAGGTTTGTTTAATGACCATGGTGTTTGCTTAATGACCAACGCAACAAGAGGTCGCAAAATTGGGGGTCATGTGGTAACCTGCTTAAAGACGAGCATGACCTACAACTGTAATTCCAGGCTCAATTAATGTCATCAACTGAGGATTATCACTCCTTGTTACAAAATGAGAGAATGCCCTATAGAAATGCTGCTGCTATCACACATGGGCCATTCTCCTGGTCTCCTCTGAACTACAAATTGTCAGGATTCCATGTAACACCCCCAACGAAAAAAGACCCCGAGGTTTGAAGTTCCCCAAAGTTCCATTTTATTAGAGATGTCATATTGGCTCATCTGGGAAAACCCGAATCTGAAAGTTTCCAGGTTTTCCCCACCCAAAGGAAAGTCCAAGTCCCTTCCCCCTGCACCCACAAGTTCATCACATGGTCCAATCAAAGCACTGTCCCAAGTGGAGAGGCCTCCCAGCCACACCCCTCCAGGTGCAGGGCAAGATGTCCTTGACTCTCTGAGAAAGGAATGTTATTATGACTACATATCACCCCTGCTCTATACAATCCCCCCTCCCAGTAAATGTGGCAGGCTTGAAGGCCCAATGCAAAAGATGGTTTCCAGGCCTGACACAAACTTATTTGAATAATGGGGGGCTGGAATATCTGCCCTATACACATAGTCCTCAATTTACAACCATTCGTTGAGTGATCATTCAATATTACAACACTACAGATAGTCCTCGACTTACGCCCACAATTGAGCCCAAGCTTTCCGTTGTTAAGTGAGACATTTGTTAAGTGAGTTTTGCCCCATTTTACGACTTTCCTTGCCACAGTTGTTAAGTGAACCACTGCAGTTGTTAAGTTAGCAACCTGGTTGTTAAGTGAATCTGGCATCCCCATTGACTTTGCTTGTCAGAAGGTCGCAAAAGGGGATCGCCTGACACTTTATGATTTATGACACTGCGATCATCGTAAATATGAACCAGTTGCCAAGCATCTGAATTCTGATCACGTGACCATGAGGATCCTGCGAAGGTCGTAACTGTGAAAAACGGTCGTAAATCACGGTTTTTTAGTGCCGTTATAACTTTGAGTGGTCACTAAACAAACCGTTGTGAGTCAAGGACTACCTGTACCGGAAAGAGAGACTTACAACCATTTTTCACATTTAAGACCATTGCAGCATCCCCAAGGTCACGTGATTAAAAAAATCTGGACGCTTGACAACTGGTTTATATTTTGGAAAAATCTGGGGCTCAATTGTGTTTGTAAGTCGAGGACTACCAGTACTGTGAACATAACTGTGACGTCATAGAAGCTCAGCCAATGAGGACAGTCAGCTGGCAGCAGAGCAGCCAACGGTGCGACCGGACGAAGCTTTCAAGAATTACCTGAAAACATAGGAGAAGACGATGAGAGTCAGCGTGACCACGTGGTGAATGAGCATGACGACCGAGTCCTTGCGCCAGACATCCATGTAAAGGGTGGCATAGATAGAATGGGCATAAAAACTGCCTTGTATTAGATAGGTGAGTGCAATATCCAGTGGCACCTGCATTCCCTTTTCCCAATCTGGAAAGCCAGGCAGAAAAAGAAGAGAAGGTGAGCTCAACACACCTGCGGCATCCAAAATGCTCAGAATGACACGACAACAGATCAAGGAACTGAGCTGGCTCATTTGCGCATGAGCAGCGCCCTATAGGCCTGTGATGGCAAACCTATGGCATGCGTGCCACAGGTGGCACACGGAGCCATATTGGTGGGCACACAAGCGTTGCCCTAGCTCAGCTCCGGCACACATGCGCGTGCTGGCCAGCTGATTTTTCGGGCCTTTGAGGCGCACCAGAAATTGGGAAACAGACCATTTCTGGCCTCCTGAGGGCCTCCTGGAGGGTGGGGAAGGCCATTTTCGCCCTCCCCAGACTTCTAGAAAGCCTCTGGAACCTGGGGAGGGCAAAAAACAGGCCTACCCGGCCCACCATGCCATTGTGTGTCAAAAGCGGGGGGAACGCAGGTGGGTCACGTGCACATGCGCGGGTGTGTGTGTGGCGCATTAAATTATGGGTGTGGGCACACAGATGCGTTACCCCCCCGCGCTACCCCACTTTTGGCACACAACGGCAAAAAGGTTAGCCATCACTGCTATAGGCTACTGTTACACAACGAAGTTTCCTGTCAATACAATTTTTTAAATTTTTTTTTAAGTTTGATTTATATGCCACCCTTCTCCGGAGACTCAGGGCGGCTTACAATGCGTTAAGCAATAGCCTTCATACTTTTGTATATTTTTTACAAAGTCAGCTTATTGCCCCCACAAACTGGGTCCTCATTTTACCTACCTTAGAAAAGATGGAAGGCTGAGTCAACCTTGAGCCTGGCAAGATTCGAACTTATTAATTGCAGACAGCTGGAGTTAAATTGCTTTGATCAGGACCAAATGCTCGTTTGCAAAAGTAGGTATGGGTAGTCCTCGACTTACGACCTATCGCTTAGTCCATTAATACCTCCCTAAGCTTATTATTACAAGCTTCTTTGTGTAATGAATTAAAATAACTATTTTAATTCATTAATTTCGGCACAGTTTTGCCGAAAATCAAAAGCCAAGTTCTGGCTTTTAGCAAAACCATATCATAAAACACAGTCACATGCATATGGGCGTAAAATGTAAATGCAGCCACGCAGCATCGCTTATATCCATTTTATTAATTTGTTTATCAAATGTCTACACTAAATAAATAGAGATTTCCTGAACAAAGGACTGTTGGTTTCATTCCTTTCAGACTAACAAGCCCCTTCCAACCTGCACTACAAATCCCATCCTCCTCAACTAAGCAACCTCATCTCAGTGGAAATCTAACACTTCTGGAAGATGTGTTCACATAAAAATCCTGACTATCTGTTATTAACCCTTCCTTGTCTACTCTTAAGTAAAAGAGCAGCATTGTCAACCGGAAAAAAAATGCCTTTGTAAAAGGGATCCGTGTATTTATCTAATTGTTATCTCTGCAAACCTTTAGCAGTTTACAATTAATAGGAGATTTGGATTTTTTTTAAACCTACCCTGATTTCCCCAAAATAAGGCATCCCCTGATAATAAGCCCAATCGGGCTTTTGAGTGCATGGCAATAAGGCCAATTGCTTATTTCAGGGTTCAATATATTTTTTTATATTTATTTTTGGGGAACACAGTAGGCAAAACCTCACTTTAAAAATGTTTGACCCCCAAAGACTATATTGCAAACTTCTTAATAATTTTGTTTCTGCTACAAAAACTTGCTGTAAAGCCTCCAAATTGAAAGAGCTCCTCCTGAACGAGAGGAACTGGTTTCTAAGGATGCTCTCTCCCTCACCCACCCCCAATTAAGCCCGGAAGCATGTCAGATGAAACAAACAAGGTTTTGAGGCTATATGCCAGGTCTCCTTCCAGATTCCTGGATTACATTATATATGAAGACTCCTTTCAAACTGCAGAAGCAGGATTAGGCGTAATTTACCAAATGTAAATGACCCAACATTAAACATTCCCCAAATCAGGGGGTCCAACCTTGGAACTTTTAAGATTTGTGGACTTCAACTCCCAGAATTCCCCAGACTAGGCTATTTGTGGACTTCAACTCCCAGAATTCCCCAGCCAGGCTATTTGTGGACTTCAACTCCCAGAATTCCCCAGCCAGGCTATTTGTGGACTTCAACTCCCAGAATTCCCCAGCCAGGCTATTTGTGGACTTCAACTCCCAGAATTCCCCAGCCAGGCTATTTGTGGACTTCAACTCCCAGAATTCCCCAGCCAGGCTATTTGTGGACTTCAACTCCCAGAATTCCCCAGCCAGGCTATTTGTGGACTTCAACTCCCAGAATTCCCCAGCCAGGCTATTTGTGGACTTCAACTCCCAGAATTCCCCAGCCAGGCTATTTGTGGACTTCAACTCCCAGAATTCCCCAGCCAGGCTATTTGTAGACTTCAATTCCCAGAATTCCCCAGCCAGGCTATTTGTGGACTTCAACTCCCAGAATTCCTCAGCCAGGCTATTTGTGGACTTCAACTCCCAGAATTCCCAGCCAGGCTATTTGTGGACTTCAACTCCCAGAATTCCCAGCCAGGCTATTTGTGGACTTCAACTCTCAGAATTCTTCAGCCAGGCTATTTGTGGACTTCAACTCCCAGAATTCCCCAGCCAGGCTATTTGTGGACTTCAACTCTCAGAATTCTTCAGCCAGGCTATTTGTGGATTTCAACTCCCAGAATTCTTCAGCCAGGCTATTTGTGGACTTCAACTCTCAGAATTCCCCAGCCAGGCTATTTGTGGACTTCAACTCCCAGAATTCCCCAGCCAGGCTATTTGTGGACTTCAACTCCCAGAATTCCTCAGCCAGGCTATTTGTGGACTTCAACTCCCAGAATTCCCCAGCCAGGCTATTTGTGGACTTCAACTCCCAGAATTCCCCAGCCAGGCTATTTGTGGACTTCAACTCCCAGAATTCCTCAGCCAGGCTATTTGTGGACTTCAACTCCCAGAATTCCCCAGCCAGGCTATTTGTGGACTTCAACTCCCAGAATTCCCCAGTCAGGCTATTTGTGGACTTCAACTCCCAGAATTCCCCAGCCAGGCTATTTGTGGACTTCAACTCTCAGAATTCCCCAGCCAGGGCTATTTGTGGACTTCAACTCCCAGAATTCCCCAGCCAGGCTATTTCTCTCAGAATTCTGGGAGTTGAAGTCCACAAGTCTTAAAAGTTGCCAAGGTTGGACACCGCTACTCTAAATAAAAGCTTTCCTCCCCCCCCCCCAATATGACCACAATGCTTACCATACCATAAAAGACAGAAGGTGGATCATGGAAAAAGGGGTATCCAGCAAAGAAGAGCAAGTAAGCGCTGTACAACCAGGAGATGCTGTAGAAAGAGAGTTTCCAGGCACTTTCAGGCACCTTAGCAGCATCCTTGGGAGGTAACTGACACCAATCAGCGACGGGCTGAAAGAAAGAAAAAGATCAGTGGGACCGGTTGATCTCTGATCTTCAACTCTTCATTTACAACTGGGGGGCTTCTATTGGCTCTCACCTGAGTGTTATCTGTGGATACAGGTACTCCTCGATTTGCGACCACAATTGAGCCCAAATTTCTGTTGTTAAGCAAGACAGTTGCTAAGTGAGTTTTGTCCCATTTTACTTTTGTTTAAATGAATTCTGACAGTTAAGTGAATCTGGCTTTCCCATTGGTTTTGCTTGTCAGAAGATCCCAAAAGGTGATCACATGACCTCAGGATACTGCAACCAGGGTGGATAAAAATCAATGATTTTTTAAAAAAAAAATTAAAAAAATCAGATTTTTTTGATTTAAATTGGATTTTTTTGATTTAAATTGGATTTTTTTAAATTTTTCATCTTATTTATTTTAATAAAAAACTTTTGGGGTAAAAATCTATCGTAAGATAGTTTTCTATTTAAGATACATAAATAATTTAGTTTATTCAGCATGAAATGGAGCTTAGTTATGTAGCATGAGGCTGTATATTCTGCAACACTGGGACTATCGGTGAGTCAACAGTGGGTCAAAGGAATAGCAGAGATGACAGTTGCTCTTTAAAAATTATGATTTAAATCGAGTTGATTTAAATTAAGCCTTTTTACTAGTGATTTAAATTGTGATTTAAATTGTGATTTAAATCAATTCGATTTAAATCAAATCCACCCTGACCGCAACTATCAAAAATACATGCCAGCTGTCAATCATCTGAATTTTGATCACGTGACCATGGTCATGAGTGTGAAAAATGGCCACGTGCCACTTTTTTCAGTGCCACTGTAACTTCGAACTGTCACTAAATAAATGATTGTTAAGTCAAAGTCTGCCCGTATCTCATACAGTAATAATAGCAATAATAACAAAAGGAATAAATTGTCCCAATAGAAAACAATCTCTGTAGCTCAGGTTGAACTGTAGAATCCCTGACGCTCAGAGCTGTTTGCCTGCAGATGTTTCATTATCTAACTACACGTACTCCTCGATTTATGACCACAATTGAGCCCAAAATTAATGCAACAATGGTCTCGCCATTGTTAAGTGAGTTTTTCCTCACTTTACGATTTTTCTTACCGCTGCTGTCAATTGAATCACTGCCGTTGTTTAGTTAGCAAAACGGTCATTAAGTGAATCTGGTTTCCTCCTTGACATGGCTTGTCAGGTCACAAAAGGGGACACACACACCCCGGGACATTGCAACCCAGTGGTGAAATGTAAAATTTGTTACTATCGGTTCTGTGGGCGTGGCTTGGAGGGGTAATGTGACTGGGTGGGCGTGGCCAACTTTTTGTTTGTTTGTTTTTAAAAGCATTTTTTTTTCCTACATTCTCTTTGACTGAAGAGGTTACAGAAAAAAATGCTTTTAAAAACCTCTGACTATCAGGCAACTCAGTGGGATCATCAGAGGCTTTTAAAAGCATTTTTTTCTACCTCTTCGGCAGAAGAGGTTGTAGAAAAAATTCTTTTAAAAGTCTCTGACGATCCCAGCTGAGCCACGTGATCATCAGAGCCTTTTTTTTTTTACTTTTAAAAGCATTTTTTCCGCCGAAGAGGTTGTAGAAAAAATGCTTTTAAAAGTAAAAAAAAAAAAAAAAGGCCTCTGAAGATCGTGCGGCTCAGCTGGGCATGGGGGGGGGCAGGGATTTTTGCTACCGGTTCGCTGAACCATCTGCTGCCATTGCTACCGGATCGGTCCGAACTGGGAGCATTTCATCTCTGTTGCAACCGTCATAAATATGAGCCAGTTCCCAAACAGCTGAATTTTGATCAGGATGACCGTGGACGATGCTGCGAAGGTCATAAATATGAAAAAGGATAATAAATCGCTGTTTTCAGTGCAATTGTAGCTTCAAACAGTCACTAACTGAAACTGTTGTAAGTCGGGAACTATCTGTAGGTAGCATCATCAGCAACCAACCAAGCTCAGAGAAGACCAGGGATTCTACAGAAATACTTGTGCCGAATATAAGCAATACATTTGTGCAACATTAAGCACAGATATATTTAACAGGAAAAACGCTCCCTTATAAAACATAGCTTGAACTCAGGAGGCAGCATTGAGCCAACTTTGATTTTAAAAGACTGAATAAGAGTTGAACCCCAGTTCATTCTTGGATGGAAGACACCTGTGGCTTTAGGCTAAACTGGGAAGCAGGGTGGATTTGATTTAATCGAGTTGATTTAAATCACAATTTAAAAAGGCTTGATTTAAATCAACTCGATTTAAATCATAATTTTTAAAGAGCAACTGTCATCTCTGGTACTCCTTTGACCCACTGTTGACTCACCGATAGTCCCAGTGTTGCAGAATATACTCATATATGTAGCCTCATGCTACATAACTAAGCTCCATTTCATGCTGAATAAACTAAATTATTTATGTATCTTAAATAGAAAATTATCTTACGATAGATTTTTACCCCCAAAGTTTTTTATTAAAATAAATTTGATAAAAATAAAAAAAATCCGATTTAAATAAAAAAAATCTGATTTTTTTTGATTTCTTTAAAAAAATCATTGATTTTTATCCACCCTGCTGGGAAGGGTAGAAAGTTAGCACCCACCCCTCTCCTAGAAGAATGAAATATTCTAGCAAATATTAAAAAGGCAGAATATTATATTTCCCTGGATGAGAAAAGAGCAGCTCCCTGCCCCCAGCAGATATTTGGCGGCCATTGAGCAAGACTGGGCCAGCCTATCTACAAGACAATTAGCTCCAGGGTGATGGGATTAAGACACGACCCTCCAGGACATATATCAGCAGAGTTTACCACATGGCACAAACACCTGGAAACATTACATCACTCTCCAAGTTTCAACCAAACCTGGGAGCTCAGACAACCTATGATCCCTGCATAGCTCCAGGGGAGTCTGACAACAACCAAAAGAATACATGCCCTTGCCACAGGAACAGAAAGCTCAAGGGCAAGGCCCAAGAGATGGTATATATCAGGGGTGAAATGCTCCCAGTTCGGACGGGATCACCCGATCTGGTAGCGATGGCGGTGGGTGGTTCGGAGAACCGGTAGCAAAAATCCCTGCGCGTCCCCCCCGCCAATGCCCAGCTGAGCCACACGATCATCAGAGGCTTTTTTTTTACTTTTAAAAGCATTTTTTCTACAACTTTTTCAGCCGAAAAAAATGTTTTTAAAAGTAAAAAAAAAAAGCCTCTGATGATTGCGTGGCTCAGCTGGGATCGTCAGAGCCTTTTAAAGGTTTTTTTTCTACAACCTCTTCGGCCAAAGAGGTTGTAGAAAAAATGCTTTTAAAAGTAAAAAAAAAAAAAAAAGTTGCCCACGCCCACCCAGTCACATTACCCACCACCAAGCCACGCCCACAGAACCGGTAGTAACGAATTTTACATTTCACCACTGGTAAATATACCTCTCTCTCTCTCTCTCTCTCTCTCCTCCATGTGGTCAGCTCTACCCAGGACTTAAAACCCATATGGTCCTGTCCCTCAATAAACCACCTTTCCAATCAGCCTCCATATTTCCAGTGTCTTTCTCCGCACTTGGAACTGGATCCAGATGGATATTACTTCCCACAGAAGTAAAAATAAAAATAAAAATAAAAATCAACCAGGAATATAAAGCAACGGCAAAGCACTTTGTACTTTTGCCAAGATAATGGCACGGATGTTCCCATATAGCTACCAGAAATAGTTGCCTTCTTTGGGGAAAAAACAACAACAACACACAAATGCCGTAAAATTGATACGAGTTGCCTTGTGCGTGTAGAATCGTTTTTTTTTATTTTTTTGCTAGTGCAGACAGAATCCTTAGACGTCGTTTTATACTTAATGATTCTGCTTGCACTAGCAAAAAAAAAAAAGGGGGGGGGAGGATTCACACACACAAGCTGAGACATGCTGATTTTACTGCAATTTGCTACGGCATGACTTCTCTGTTCTTCCAAAAGCTTCTCTTGAAGGTGAGGATGAGAGAAGCCTGCCCCAAGCGAAGACCTTCGGACGTTTCCATTGGATGAGCTCCATGTAAACACAGGCAGCTAACAGCACTGCAAAACTACAGTAATCTTACTAATAAAAAAGAATATTCGTAGCTCACGGTTGGCATGAGGGATCCTTGGTGCTCTCTGAGCAGACTTGTTTTCTTGCAGACCTCCTGACAAGCAAAGTCAATGGGGAAGTCCGATTCACTTAACAACCGGGCGATTAACTTACCAACTGCCGTGATTCATTTAACAACTGGGGCAAGCAAGGTCGTAAAATGGGGCAAAACTCACTTAACAAATGTCTTAATTAATTAACAATGGGAATTTTGGTCTTCGTTACGGTCGTAAGTCGAGGACTACCTGTACTGTGTGAGGGGTGCTTGGTGCTGTCTGAGCTTCCGTTTTCTTGCAGAGGTTTCACTAGCACTGATGATGTTACCTACCTGGGTAATGAAACGTCTGCAAGAAAACAAGTCTGCACCATGATGTAAAAAAGATGTTGAGACTCTAGTGCAGAGAAGAGCAACTAGGGGACTGGAGGCTAAAACATATGAAGAACGGTTGCAGGAACTGGGTATGCCTAGTTTAATGAAAAGAAGGACTAGGGGAGACATGATAGCAGTCTTCCAATATCTCAGGGGCTGCCACAAAGAAGAGGGAGTCAAACTATTCTCCAAAGCACCTGAGGGCAGGACAAGAAGCAATGGGTGGAAACTAATCAAGGAGAGAAGCAACCTAGAACTAAGAAGAAAATTTCCTGACAGTGAGAACAATTAATCAGTGGAACGACTTGCTTCTAGAAGTTGTGGATGCTCCAACACTGGAAGGTTTTAAGAAGAGGTTGGGCAAACATTTGCCTGAAATGGTTTAGGGTTTCCAAGTAGTGGGACAGCAGGTTTCCTAAGCAGCAGGTTGGACTAGAAAACCTCCACGGTCCCTTCCAACTCTATTATTCTGAAGCTTCGGACCAAAACTCTTGCTTTTTAGAGCAATA